CCCCAAAACCCCAAAACCCCAAAACCCCAAAACCCCATTATCGTTCTTAGTATTGTCTAACAGTTATAAATTTTATTTCCGATAAATAAATAAGGAAACATGAGGAGAAAAGGCAAGTGGACGGACAGCATAGGCGATGCTGTGAGTGGTGCCAAGAGGCACTTGTCACGTCCTGGTGACAGAAGCTCTGATGAAGACGGGACTATGCAAACAAGGAATGATGACTTTTATGACCCATCGTACTCATCACACAGGGGTGGTTCTCGTAAGAAGAGATCACGGTCGCCGTACTACAACTCCGATATGAATGAAGACCATATTAGAGATGTGGAACACCAGAGAGAAATTGATGATCTAAAATACGGAGTGGCTAAAAATTATAGAAGCATCGAGAAGAAAGTGGACAAAGTGCTTGACATTAACGATGAAGAGCTCATTCGACTCAATAATCGAGTAGATTATCTTGCTAGCAAGGTCAACAAGGCAGGCCACCAGGATGTAGAGGCCTTGAGGGATTACATGGAGCATAAATTCAAGGACTCTGAGAAGAAAAGTCTTAAAGCATTCGAAGAGCTTGAGAAGCAAAATGCCCACCTTCAAAAATAAGATCTTCACTCTTGAAAAAGTAGTCAATGGAGTTATGAACGAAAAGGGTGGAGCTCCTACTAAAGAACTCACCGATGAGATCAATACTCTTTATACAAAGAAAAGGGAGCAGGCTGCCAAGCTAGACCAAGCCTTAGCAAGAATAGCCAACCTAGAGAAGGACCTTTTTGATAGGCAAGATTCACTTGGGAAAAATAAAATCTCTGACCGAGAACTAGTAGCTCTCAGAGGAGAGATGAACAGCAAGATCAAAGACATTCAGCTCAGACAAGAGAAGGATCTCAACCTGACTGACAAGCGCCTTCACAAAAGGATTGATGATATCCAGGGAGCCATCGAACAACTTGACCAAGGAATAGATGCTATTGAACAGAGAAGGCTTAACGGTGAGAACAACCTACTCAAGAAATCAGTCCAGCTTCTCAAAGAAGGAAGCATGGATGATGTCTTGTACGACATGAAGAGACGTATCAAAGACATTGAGACACACATCCACAAACCTGTAGCACCTGAAAGGATCAACATTGAGAAGGAAGAAATCATTAAGGAACTTGTCCAAGGCATGGCCCAATTCGAAAGAGACATAACTGACATGAAGAAGCAACTAGGTGAGCATGACCAAGATATCCAAGACGAAGCTAAATTATTGAATGTCTTAGACCAAGAGAAGATCAAGGATAAAGCCAAGCTCGAGAATTTGAGAGTTCAGATCCTGGAACTTGACAGAAATTATGAGGCACTTAAAAGAGATAAGGCCCAAACAAACCAAGACATTGATGATCTTAGGCTAGCTTGTGAATCAGAGTTTAATCATGTGAAGAAAGCAGAGATAACTGATTTCAAAAACCTTAATAGCAAAATTAACGAGTTAACAAACCTCCAGGACATAGTTGAGCATCTCTCCAATCAAGTGGAATATCAACAGAGAGAAATTGATGGAGTCAGGAAGGAAAATAGTCATGGACCTGTTAAAATTAAAAACAGAGTTGGAACTGATGCACTGAGTAGCTCAATGTCACCTGCAACTATGCTCTTCTCTGACCTAAAGAATAAGAGACATCCTGAATCTGATGAGACCTTAGCAAAATATACCGATACCCCATTGACAACAAAATTCCGTGAGAAGCTATTATCAAGATCAAGAATCGAAAATCCAAACTTAAGGGACAATAATAATTCAGACTCTGACGATCATAAACCAAGAGAGACAGATTTCCTTAAAACAATCCTAAACAAGACGCAGGACTCTGATAGAGGTAAGTTTCCGGGCATCTATCATTCTAGAAAGTGACCCAAGAAGATCAACTTTCCTAGCAGACCCATTCAAAATGAAACACAACAAAGCAGATCATAGACCCAGTAGAGATAAAAGTCATGACAGAACTCAAAAGAGAAGGAGGGATTCTCTTTCATCAAAATACTCATACGACCAGAAAAAGCAAGTGAGCAAGCAAAACGAGAAGCTTAACAAAGGAGGTACGTCTCTGCGCTTAACTCTTCAGACAAATCAGGTCTAAACCCATCGACTAACAAAGGTATGCAGCCCAACAAACCAAACAAGGGTAAACCAAAGACTTCGAAGTCCTTAAAAAAATCCAGATCAAAGTCTAAAATCAGCCACAAGAGTGAAGAGAGCTATTCAGAAGAGGGTTCTGAAGGTTCTGACTTGCCTCGTGGCCCAATCAATCCGCCTAGTTCTGTGGGTGATAAGGTGAGCAACCTGAACAAGATGAACAACACTGTTAAGAAGAAGAATAAATAATTTTACAATCTTTTTTGGACTGGAAGGGGTTTTGGGGTTTTGGGGTTTTGGGGTTTTGGGG